GGTTGAAATATTTTGTTCACATCATACAGTTTGCGGTTATTAAGATAAGTATATGAGATATGTAAGACAGAAGATGAACATATAAATTGAAGCGTTTGAAAGGTAAAATTTACTTTTAATTGTAGAAGTAGTTTTATTGCCGCCATACAACTTGAAACCGATCTTTGTGCTGCTCTTACCAACAACGTCTCACTTTACATGAAGAAAGTTCAAGAGACTTTAGTAAGTTTATTGTTTCAACTTTCTCGTTGTCTGAAATCATTGAATGGTGAGATTTTCTGTTCTGCCAGTTGGGGTAACTGTAGATATTTAAAAGTGCGCGTAATCTTTTAGGTTGGTTTCCTTTTTTATTGGAGAATTGATTGTGACGGCCGACGTGTTGTGTGCAGATACATGACTTTTTTTATTATAACGAATGAACAGAATGAGTTAAAGATGATTTTAATTAACCACATTAATTTTAGCAAAAGCCTTCATCGAAACTTGCGGATGCAGAAGCTGGGACATTAAAAATCGATGGTCGTTATACCCATGAGGAAAACCTTAGAATCCGACTTGGATTTTTGCATTTTCTTTTAACTGATGGACATTTATTGTTGAAAACACCTCAAGTGTGTGATTAAAGTTTTAATATTTTGCAATAGTTGTTAGCGGTTTTAAGTCATTTTCATGAGTTTTTAAATTTATTAAGAGGAAAATTTTCAGGCGAACGAATTATGGGATGCTTTAGTTGTCAATGCTGTCACAAGTTTTGAAAGGACTTACGGCTTTCAGCTTTTCTACCGTATGCAGAGCAAAAAGGACATTGAGCCTGCTGCAGTGGAGGAGTTTTTTAACAGTAAGTTTTTCAGAAATTTTTTTGTACGCTATTGTTTTAAAACTTCCTATTTTAGCGCGGATTCTTCAGTTTCCTGTAGAGCAGTTGGACTCTGATGGCTTTCTTTGTTTCAAGATCTTTTGGATAACTGTGAACAAGGCTGCCTCAAAGTTGTTGCCACCGGACACCGCTACGCAGTGTTGTCTTGCTAGCATGGAATTAGAGGTAAAATTTTTTGCGCCAAGGATTGAAGAATTTATCTGAAGTCGCTGTTCTTTGATGAGAAAATGTCTTACCTGTGCATATCTATGGCATTTTCAATATCCTGATTATAAGTTTTACTGTTTTGCCATTTATTTTTTTTTTCGAGTTTAGGGTTCAGACTATTTATGGGAAGTTATACTGAAGTCTCCAGAACCGGTTTCGAGGAGTGCTATTACGTTGTGGGTGGAAATTTTTTCCTCTCCCGATGGTGAAAAAATTGATATTGGACGACTTAACGAAGACGTAATTAACAAATGGTAACTATTTCCTACTAAGATGGCTTTCAACTCACTTGTTTTCTTGTTTGATTCACAACGTGCTTTAGTTTTATAAGAATGAAAAACAGCAAAAAAAAGAGAGAAAATTGATATTAGTCAAAGAACGAGGAAGAGGATTAGAGATTGAAGAATGTAGTAGTTTAAGAGAGCAAACTTAGCGGTACCACTCTATAGCAGAAGTTATTGCAGCAAGCATAGGATAAATTGCGCTTAATTGTGTTGGAAAACTCATATAAAGAAGTTTTATTTGCTTACTACTTTAATTAACTTTAAAAGTCGTGAGTTTAAATGGTGGTACTGACTCTTCAAATGGTTTGTTCTAAATTCTTGAGGGGAGCGGTGAGGAGGTTTTGTATTGCTTTTGCAATGTAAACCAACTTGAATTTGCTTTTTTTTTTAAGGATTTTGTTATTGTAGCACATATTTCAACTTATTTCAGCTTCACTATGTTGAGAGAGAACAGAAGTGAATTAACCAGTGAAACTTCCAACGAGGATTCGATACAGAATGCTATTCGGCAAATGAGTCGTATTCTTTCTGTAAGTTTTTATTTGTATTTTCTTTGTAAGTCATGTAGGTCATTAAATCAAGTGATAATAATAGCAGCATGAGAAAATTTTTCTGATGGAAACTTGCTGTTTTTTTTAAAATAATCTTTCTGGTCTGCAACAAACTTACTTTTTTTTTATATGTGTATTTTCTTCAAGAACGGTAAGCACTGATATTTGCATAGGCGTTGTACAATTACATATGTGCTTCCGACGAGGGTTTCATTGGACCAGATCGGCCACATCCTCCTTTGCTCTATTCTTGTATGGGAAGCTGTTTTCTTCTGTTGGTACTCTTTCCAAGTTAGTCATTCCATCTTTCGATACACTTAATTCTTTTCTACAGGAGCAGATAATGAGATTCATTCTTTCACGCAATGGATTTCGAAGTATTTTGTGTTTTTTCATAAACTTTTTAGGCCATGAGCTAGAGAAGGCTCGCCGGCAATGGGATCAGAGGGATTCGTGTAATTTTGAATTTTCAAGTTTGTACTTTATAGTATTGAAGAGATGCTTATTTTTTCGCATATTACGGTTTTTCACGCTATACTTTTTTTTTACAGCTTTGTAAATTTATTTTATGTTTTTTAGCTTCTGCTTCTCTCGCTAGCCCTCAAAATGAGGAATATATGATACCTGTCCATAGTCATATGACCTTAGCAGTTGTTCGGCATCGAGTAAGATTACAAAAAACGTTCATGTGTATTTTAGTTCTCTCGGGATATTAATATAATTATTTGTCTTTCCAATTTCCTTTTTACAGTATCAGTATATCGTGAAACCTGATTACTTTATTTTTTTAAAGATAGAAGAACGGCTGAAAGGGATTGAGGGAATTGCTGACTGTGAAGCTCAGTTTAAGCTTTACGTGCAACGTTTAAATGCTGGTGGTGGAGAACAAACAGCATTAGGGTCTCAAAGTAAACGGAAGACGTTAGAGGAGTTGATGATCGATAGCACTACGCAACTAGTTGTTTCATCTTTTATCCATCGCGTCTACTGTGACAGTATATTTCATAGTTCAGATTCAAGTCTTGATGGAAGGTATTTTAATAATGCTTGAATTATTTCTACTTTAAAACATCCTATGGCGCACTTTTGGATCTTTTTTGTTGGCGTCGTGATGACTGTCTGTTGAAAAGGAGATGAAACGCTGCTCTTTTAGCGATGAGTTCCGTTCTGAGGAGGTTGCAGAATTTACATTGCCTGGTTGGATAATTGCTTCAAATTTTAAATACGTTAGATTTTTATGCGACCTCGCTGACATTGGTTATTTGCATAAATGTTTTAATCTTCGAGACAGCGCCCAAAAAGTGTTGAAGTAGGTTTCCCAAATTAGGCTACAACATTTTATTGTTTTGAGTATTTAGCTTTTTCAAATTTAAAAATAATATTTAAGGTACTGTATTTTTTTCAAACAAATACTTGTACTCCGGCTTTATGCGTCTTCTTAGATAGAATATTTCAGTCAGATCCCAACGGATGCAACGTCAATCGACAGGCTAGAGACGATGATCAAAAATGACAATTTGTCCCATCTGTTTCCTTCTGAAAAACCAAGCGAATCATTGCACCTTCTTGCTGTCCTTCACTCTCTTTTAATGCCCGCAGCTACATACGCACTGCAGGAGGCCACATCATTTCAGGTTTTTTATAATAACTGAACAGCCTTTTCGTTTTTTTGAATAGATGCAATATAGGACAATTCATAGTAAAACAAAGATTTTTATGGTATTATTCTCATCAGACTCTATTACAGTTACCTAGCCAAAAAATTTCTGCGATACTAGTAGTTTTGAGCTAGGCCGTATACAAACTATGTGATTTATGTTCCAAAATTACAATTTGTATTAGTTTGTTGGTGTCAAAACAAAAAATTTTGTTTTCCTTTCATCGTGTATTTTTTTATCAATTTTTTTTGCTATTGCATAGTTTTTCAGAAAACATTTTTTTCGTCTAGCAGTTGCCTGGCAGTCATAGAATTCCTTGACAATCCTGAGATTTTTTATATTTGGGATACTGCGGCATGTTGTACAGCTCTGTGGTGGATTATGAACATTACAAAGTTTATACTTTCAGTTACGGCCAGACTAAAGGCAAATTTTTTGTTTCTTTTGAGATGATCATAGCCTTACAATTATTTTTACACGCCTTTTTCAGTACCCTAGAAAAAACGTTCATGATAGGGATATGGTTCTTTATATTAAGAATTCTCTGGGCCCAGAGCAAGAAGTCTTTAAAGAGGTAAGATTTTATTTGGAAATGTTTTATTTGATGTTACGTAATGAGTATACTTCATCGCTCAGTCACTTTCCTTTTGTTTTATCTGATTTGCCCCTCATTTTTAAGAGCATTATTATGATATTAATATGCCACTATGAAAAAATGTGTTTTCCAATTATGGAAAGCAGTTTTTTGTAGAAAATGACATCCACTGACAACTAGTTTTTACTGTATTGAACTTTAGTACTGCGACCTCATAGCGAAAGACCTGGATAGGAACATGACCAGCGGCGAGATTTCGTTGAATCACCTTGAGTCATTCCACTTTGCAAAGAATTCTCGTTTGGTATCGCTGCTGATGAATGCTGCCTGGGTTTGCGGCTCCAAAGAACTGCCGTTAAAAGCCGATGTACTTGATGAGGAATCAAATATTTATTCGTTCTCTTTGAGTGAGCCAGTAAGTTATTATTATACTCAGTTACGCAAATACTTTTTAAATGTTTTTTAAGACGTATGATTAACGGTTTCTTCGTTTTCATTTGTTATTATTTTCTAAAGTTATTGAATTTTACCTTAACATACTGTTTACATTAATCAGTGCATTCTTTTGCATTTTTTCCTTCAAAAGCACTACTACATTCTGAGATTCGTTTGCAGGAAACCATTAACGCATTGCAACAGCAGCTGACAGTTTGTGCTCTAGATACTTTGTCATGCGCTTCTGCAAATGAAGGAGCTATTGGCCTTATACTCGAAAATGAGTCCTCGTGGAACAATATGATAATTGATCTCCTTTTCTCATGTAGTAGGTTAGGATTGCTTAAAGTTAATTTTCCTCTTGGTACCGTTTGAAATTGGAACTCAGCGTTCTTAAGTCATCTTGCAAATTCGTCTATTACTTGTTTTGCTATTCAATTTGGTGGTATTTTTAGCGTTATAAAGCAACACGTTGTTGAAGTAGTAAAACGTATCGTTTGTCGAGAGCGACCAGCAGCAGTTCAAGGTTCTGATGTAGCAGTGAAATCGTTAGCTGAAGCCACTGTGGAACTGCTGTTTAAAAAGTTTTCATACGTAGATCAAAAGCCAGAAGCAGCATCTGAGTATTTTTCATTACTCTGCCGGTATGTCATCACTCTTTAGTCGTCATACGCCTGACTTTTTTTCATATATTGTTATTTCGCTACACTTTTTTTAGGTTGCTGGAATACTGCCGTAATCACAGCTTTTTTTTGGATCCCGTGATGAAGTATATTGAAGAAGTATTAGAGTGGCTGGAGCAAGCAAAAGTATATTACATTTTCGCTTTATAATTTTATTAGGCACCATTAACAGGCTGCCACCGTTCCTTGGTTAAACACGGAATATTCACCATTTTTGGTTACTACAAAAATTTGCAGGCTGCTTTTTTCAAACTGTTTTGAAAAAGCATTGTAGAATACTTTGTTAGTAGTTCTCGCTATGGTTTACATATATTACTTATCTTTTATTTTGCTTATTTGTTTAATCTTTTTTTTTTTTTGCAGCAACACACCGTCGTGCACATGGAACACTATCCTAACGACTGCCTCCTTATTGGCCATTTTGAATTGTGTCGCTCACTGATTAGTTTTTTAACCCCTGAAGCCAAGATGAGTCTTGGGTCAGATGAGAATGGCCGGAAGCTTGTAAAAGTACGTTCAAATTGTAAATATTTATCATTTATTTACTCCCAAAATTTTCCAGAATGAAAAGTTTGTCAGAAGAATTTAATATAAATTAAAGGGTCGATTTAAGTTAAAATTAATGTTAGTTTTTTGATTTTAAGCAATGTTTGTTGTTTTGGAAAATATGGAACTTCAGCATCTGCTTCAGTATTTTGAAGTATTGTAGTCTCATTTTTCCCTTATTTTGATAAGATAGCACGAAATAATTAATTTAAAGGCTGGACGCTTCTTAAGTGATGCATTTTTGGGTGATTTAGTTTTGCAAGGATAGCCTTGTAAAGATTCAGGGGTCATAAAACGAGGGTTTTTTTATAATCTTAGCAAATCTGGCTCCTGACTCTTGTTTCTTTTTTTTTCAATTTAGCATTATTTCCTTATGTTTATGAAAACTTTGCTTACATCGTTGTAAGATTATGAAAAACACTTCTGTCAGTTTACACATACATGCTTCCACGGATTCCTGTTGTCATCAAGTATTTTAAACGACCACAGCTGAAATTAACTTCTGTTTTCTCGATAACCAAGTTACAAAATTACCAGGCAGTCTGTATTTCATATCAGGAATAAGAGTGTGGCTTTTCCTGATCTTATTATCGCAACTATTACTGCTTGTATTCGTGTAGACATCTTTCCCTTGCATGAGGGACTGGTTTTTCTTTAAAACAATATTTTTTAGAACCAATGCGAAATTAAAACATTAGGTACACAGTTGGAAAGTTTGCTTGGTTTATTCAGAATCTGAGGATACGTTTTCTTCACATTTTTGTTTCACCCTTTTTTTTTTTAAACAGTAGCAAAACTGTGTGTCGTAGCAGGCTCATAATTTTAGCAATTATTGGATGAGTTTATATTGCCGTCGTCCCGAGCATTTGTTGAACTAGAGCGTTGTAGGGAGGACACAGAGAAACGGATGCAACGTTCTGCTACCCAGTTTACAATTGGTGGATGTTAGTTTTTCTGTTTAGTTAATGATATTCAGTTTTCTTTTCAGCTCTTGACTTGATGAATTTATTTGCGGTTTAAAGAGTTTATTTTTACAGTACTCTGGAACAGAAAATAGGATTTAAACAGTCAGTAAATGGACATTGTGTTTTTATAAGTAGATTTCGATAGAAGTTTTTATGGGACTGTTTTGTAGTCAGATGTGATCATGAAGCATCTATGCCACGATCAGTCACAATTGATCCAATACCTACCTCCCGATGTGTCCCTGTTTGCGGTTCTGATGAAAGTGTTGGCGCTGCTTATGATCTTTTAATTTCACTGTGCGAAGAAGCACCACGAAATTATTATGCAGCGATAAGTATACTTATGGAGATGTTCTACTCTGGTAACTCGGCTTTAATTAGATTTCGGATTTTTTTTGATAGGATTTTCATTTATCTGCCCGAGTTTCAATTTTTAGCTCCATTGTCAATGTCGAATATTGATTGGGAATATTTACCTGGTTTTCCTGCACGACTGCCTAATAATTATGTTGGTTTAAAAAATGGTGGTGCAACTTGTTATATGAATTCAGTTTTCCAACAAGTAAATTTTACTTTCTGCTACCAATTCTGATTATTTTTTTAACTGTTTTCTTCCACGATGAAGTTTTTGTTCATTTTCCTCAAAATTTTCTGACTAAATTACTTGGAAATTTTTTAATTTTCTCTTAATACTTATTTCCCTGCTGTTTAGATTTTTATGATTGAGAAGTTACGGAATTCAATATTAAATGCGAAATGCAGCATCGATGTTGATGTAGATGATTCTCAATTTGACGACAGGTCGTCGATTTTACACAGCGTACGTTTGTTAATGTGAAATTAACACACGGTCGTTAGTCTGTCTTGACACTGAGTAATAAGTATAATAGTTCAACTAGTTCATGCTGCAGCTGTATTTCTTTTTAAGGAAGGGGCTGATTTACTTCAAAAAGACTATCATCAGGTTTTGTTAAAATCTGTCCAGACTATATTTGCTCATCTTCTCGGGTCAGAGTTACAGTTTTACACGCCAAAATTTTTTTGGAATCATTTCAGGTTTGTACAGTTCAACTCTTTTTCTCTAAGGATTCTTACTGGAAAACTTAGCGCTGTTTGTTAAGGTTTGGCGGTCAACCAGTAAATGTCCGTGAGCAACAAGATGCTTTAGAGTTTTATAACGCAATATTTGACACCATTGATGAAGGTATGAAAGCAATTGGCGAACCCCCAATTTGTGAATTGCTCTTTGGGGGCACTTTTGCAGACCAAAAAATTTGTAAGGATTGTCCGCACAGGTACGAAAGGTGTATTTTACAATCATTGCTGGACTTTCTTTATTTCTTAATTTTTTAAGATACCAAAGGGAAGAAACATTTACTTCTATTTCGCTTGATATTCGTTCTCACAACAATCTGATTGCTTCGCTAAAAGAGTACGTGAAAGGAGATCTGTTGAACAATGACAACGCTTACTTTTGTGAACAGTGTGGGCAGAAAGTAAGTTGCTTATTGTGCATATTCTTAGAGTAACTTCTCTCCTTTTATAGTCGTATTTCAGGATGTTGTGGCTTCAGGCGGATTACCGTTTTTGATGAGATTGTTTCAGTTTTGGTACAGCTACAGTTAGGATTTTACTTGAAGATTTGTCACTACTAATTTAAGGTTACCGCCGTCAAGCGCCTTTGCCTTGCAAAGTTGCCACCTTATTTGACTATTCAGTTGAAGAGATTTGATTTTGACTGGGAACGAGACTTACCACAGAAATACAATGATTATTTTGAATTTCCTTTGGAGCTGGATATGAAACCTTTTACAGCTCAAGGACTTGCAGAAGCTGAAGGTTTTTTTTAAAAATATTTACGAAGGGCTTCATTCGGACTTTTAAATTCTAACAAGTTTAGAAATGAACAGCTGTACAATTATTTAAAATTTTAATTTTTGCTAGTCATGAAAAGGATCTGCTAACGTAAAGGATTTCAAGTGAGTTGAAAGGAGGCTTTGACAATATTATTTTAAGTACACTTGCATATACCCATTTGTCAAAATATGGTCGAGCGAATAATTTGAAGTTGTTTCTAGTGGCGCTTATGAGATGTCCTTTTTGTTTTATCGTGTATTTATCAGTCTTCTGTGTTTGGATTTTTAATATAACTTATTAAACGCTCTTAAATGTGCTCATTTCAGCAGAAGCATTTAAGGAGAGTCAAATGCGATCACCAGTTTCGACGGTCGATAGTGGCAATGGTATTTTATTTTTGATGGCATATCACTGATTTGTAATTTTAAATTCACTATATTTTTTTTGGAATCTGGTAGCTTCGTAACATCGCTTTCTTGAAACAGTTATAAAACTCTAATTTTTGCTGTTGTTTAGCTTCTCTAAAATTTGATTTTCGTCTTGGGTAGAATTTTGAAAGGTGTTTCGAAAAAAAAGGAGTTAAGAATAAAGGAGTATTGGAAACAGCGATACAAGAATGTCATATAATCCTAAGGGACGGGGCGTCTTTAGCTACAATTACTCGTTCTCTCTAGCACTGTTTCTAACGACTTAGACGTCAGTGCGAGATTAATTAATTACTGGAAGAACGCAAGCAATTTTTTGATATTTTTTAATAGGAATTATTGGAATTTGAAGGAAATCTTTTATATAATTAGAATTTATGGGCAGTTTTTTGAAGTGTCTTGGGAAAAGTTTCACTTTTTCTGGGCATCTACTTCCTTTATTTTTTTCATTCAAAAAACCAGCATGGTTTTTCTCAAAATTTTTCTGCAGTTCTGAAAACGGATTTTTTTTGGAATATTGAGAAGCAGTAGTATCGTACGAGTTTATAAGGTCATTCAGTTGCACGTCTCTACAGGATTGGTAACCAATCGTTAGGTGGTCACAAAAATTTTTGTATAATTTTATGACCATCCACTTGCTTCCTCTAAAATATATCATTTTCCATGCTAAGGGGAGGCAGGAGAGAGAAGAATAGGGAAATACGTGAAGTACCAGCATATTCATTAATCTTCCTCGACCACGGTTTCTCACGTTTTCTTACTCCTGATTTGAGGATATTCTTTTCAAAAATAATTTACTGCAATATATGTTTAGTAGTTTTTTTAGGTGCTTCCGTAACCACAACACCAGAGATGTTTGTTTCAGAAAATGTCGCTCTTTTGTCTGAGTCTAAAAATTTGGATGAAAGGTTAGTAGCTTTGTTTTGAAAGTAATTTTGATTGGACTTATCATTTTTCATTCTTCTACCAGTTTCTAAATAAAATAGTATTATATGAACTTAATCTTTATGTCGAACGTCGTTTTCGAAATTCTTATTACGGGGTTGATGAATTTTATTTAGTAAGCCTTTTTTTGAATCTTGACAGTGTGAAGAATACTTTCAAGCTTTTGAGCAGTTTCTTGCTAATATAGTTTTATTCTTTCTGTTGTTTTAATTTTTTTGCCTTTTTTTTCTTGATTTGTTTTTTCATTCGCTTCAGCAGCACATTTTACCGTCTTCGTGGTGTAGTTGTTCATTCTGGACAGGCGAACGGAGGACACTACTATTCTTTTATACGTTCGGAGGAGGATGAAGGTCAATGGTACAAATTTGATGATGTTGATGTGTCGAAATGGCAAGTTTCCAGGGAGGTTTGTTTTCTAGTTCCGATTTTCATTTGCTTTCTTTCGAAATATCATTGAATGCTCGTCAGTGACGCCCATTTCAGACTTCTAGCATTTGTTATTCCTTTCTAGGAAATGCGCAATATGTGGTTTGGTGGTGATTATGTAGCTGATTCCTATGATGGAAATGGAAAAAGCTTTCAGAAACGCAGGCAAAAGCGGTGGTGGAATGCTTATTTGTTAATTTATGAAAAGGTGAGGTCATCTTCAAAAGTTAAGGTTTAGTTTAAGTGATTCTAAAAAAAATAAAAAAGTAATTCTTCTTCAATTATTGTTGGTTGATCATTTGTTTGAAAAAAATTTAACACGAAAATTGCGCCGTTATTTTTTTCCTCGCCTTTTAGTTAAGGAAGGGAACTAAAGTGTCATAGGTGAGCTGCAAATTATTACACTTGTATTGTACGACTCTTTTGTTCGATGAATTTATCGTTTCTTCCCATAAGGTTTTCACTATAATTCTTGTTACAGGTGGCAAGTAAAAACTCGCTCGGCATATCTTCGGAGGAGTCAAATGTATTTGGATCCTTACCTCATTCTTCCTCTTCGTCTGCTCATGAATCAGCAAATCATGTAACTATTGATACACTTGAGAAGAGTCTTCAGTCGGTTTCATTTGGTATGTTTGTTACAGATTATTTTGCTGTTTGATTAACAGCACTGTTATTAGGGCACGGGTGAAACCTATTGTTCATAGGTGTGCAGCTGATGATTTTTATTTTATGGTTTTTTTTTTCCATTCAAGACACGTTTCTGATGAACATTACAGGTAATATTAAGTGTCAGATGCCTCCGAGACTGGAGGCTCTTGTGAGAGGAAAAAATACTCGGTCTATGCATGAAAGATCACAGTAGGTTTTGATATTAGTTTTTAATCCTTATATACGCTAGGGCTGAGAGAGGCGGATTTATGAAAGTTGAGTCTCTTTCCAGCAAGATTTTGAATATACTGTGAATAGTTTTTTGCTGGCTTCTTCTCCACTGGTAGTGACTGAGTTGGATAATGTTGAACTTCTCTTTTAGGTACACGCCGCAGTATTTTCAGTTTGTACGAGAGCTGACGTCATGTGCCATTAAAATGATTAACTATACAACAGCTTCCAGAAAGTATGCTTTTTTATTTCAGCATATAATTGAATTCTCATTCAGTTTGTTTCCGAAATAGGTTTTACAGCTTGGTTTTCCAAAGAGCTGTTCGATTTATTATGGTTGATTTCAGACAAATCAGCATGAAAACCCTGTGTTTGTTGAGTAAATTCTTATTTTCTACGGCTCTGAGGGCTAAAAAAACATTGCGGTAAGTTCTTCTTTTAGTGACTTAAAAATACTGTTTGAAATACATTAAAATATTTTGTTACATTATAATCTTGTTAGGAGTTCCTCTCATACTCACTTTCAAAAACATATTCTGCTAACTGGTGGTTATTCTTATTTTTAAATTACTGATTTTTCAATTTCTTTTTGAGGTGATTTTAGTTATATTTGCTGTCATTAGAAGCAATAAAATTGCTAGAAAGTTACACGTTTTTCAAATTTTTTCTGTGATTTTTTAGTTTATATTTAAATGAGATAAACACGCTGTTCGTTAGTTTTTTGTATATTTCTGGTTGGTTTTCCATGTGATTGATTACTGAGACTTACATTTTTATTTGCTGCAACTCAACCTGGTTATTAAGAGGTGGAAATATGACCGAATGGCAAAAAAATTTGGAATATTTGTTGTCTGCTTCAACAGAATGTCGAGCATGGTTTATATGTAATGTTTTATTCCAACCAAAACTAATAGTTTCGTACTTGCTTTCTGCAACAGCTCTCGACGTAAGCAAAGTTTTTTGATTTTGTTATCAGTTCTTTTTTTTGCTCGAACTCTTTTTTGTTTTTATCTAGTACACTTTAGGTACGCTTTTTCTTTGCGAATACCTTATGCGCTTTGCTAAACTTGACTCGAAACGACCATGTAGATTCTTTGAAACCTTTTTTAGGTATTATTTTCTCCATTATTTCTTAATCAACTGTCTAGTGAGTTTCCCGGTCCTCAAGTTATTGAATATCCTTTTTTGAATTAACTTTCATGGTCTAGCAGTTTTAATTTTCAGGTTGTTGTCCTGAGTTCAATATTGAGAAGGTTTACTCGCAAGGAGATACTGTATCTGACATACTTCTTTCTATTCTTCTTATTGTACCACGGAACTACTTTCCTGAATTTACTTCACATCCAGCTCAGTATTTTGCAATGTTTCATCAATACGCTAATCTTGGATTTGAACAAGTACTTAAAAGTTTTTAATATAATTATAGTTTTTGGGTAACTTAGTACAACAAAACGTCTTAATAATTTGTAAGAATCTATTTATCCGCTGTAAAATGTTATAAGTTAGCAGGCGAAAGAGCTGATTTCAAGGTTAATTTTGCTGGTCTTCTGTAAATATTTGTTAAGTTTTTTTGTCGACCAATTTTATCTTTTTACCTTTACATTTCTGAGTCTTTGGTTCCAGCAGTGTTTATTTCAGAAGAAGCAAATGGTTCGCAAAGGAATTTTAAATAGTATGTTGGTCCTAATATCCCAAGACATATATCGCATGAAAGCTGTTTACCATGAAACAGCGAAACTTTATGACGTACTTTCTTTGTTGCTTAGGACTTGTGATTTCGGCTCTCCTCACTGGGTAAGCTATTTTTCACTGCTAATTTTTTAGAAGAATTTTTTCCCTATTCTGTTCTTTTTCAGAATCCATATTCTATATCAAAATCCGGTCTGGAACCTGCTCCTCCGGAAGTAAAAAAACTTATTCAAGATTCGTCTTTTCTTGATAGGTTGGTCGTTGGAACTTTACAATCTTAGTTTTACCGTTGTATTGTGTCCTTTCCTTTATTTATATTTTTTTCTATCTGTTTTTCTTCAGCCAGCTTCTGACAGGCCTTTTTAAACTGTGGCTCTTTATGTATCTCCTGCAACCTTCTGAATGGCACAAGACTAAGGCAACTTCTCTATGCTTTTGACCTGAAGATGTTTTTATTTAATTTAGGTTCCTGAAGCAGATTCTGGAAATGCCTTCAGACCACGAAATTGTTCTGAGCACGTTGCTGTTCTTATGTTGGGAAAACTTACCATTATCAAAGCTTGCTTTCAAGCACCTTTCTTTCCAGGCAAGTCTTTTTTATAAATTTTTACGCTTTTATGCTTTTTTTACATTAAGTTTAACTCTCACCAATTTATTTTTAACGTCATTTTCAAAAACTTTGTCTCTTTTCTCTCTTGCTAAAATAACAATTTTTGGTTGGAAATTTTTCGTTGAGGATTTTGTAAGATCTGTTCTTTTCAGTCTATGTTTACTCCAAATGAAGTCAAGCAAGGGACGGAAGTAATTGAAAGTTTGACTTCAATCGACGACTCGGTGAAAAGAGAGCGTCTTCGTTTTGTATTATTCGGATCTAGTAAGTTGTTCTGAAATTTATTCCAAGTTTGTCACTTAACTAAGACGATATAATTTTCGAGGTATTTCATTTTGAAAGATTCATACCTACTTTGGTATTAACATCCAGTGCTTATTTCTTTTCTTTTCTCGAGAAATTTTTATTACATTTATGCGGTTAAACCGCAGTTCTACTGAATTTGCGCCTTTTTAGCATATAATTAATTGAATCTACATCGCATATCTGTCTTTAGCTGACCGCAATTCTTCTGTCTCAGTAAATCTCTGTACCACGTAAAATGGATCAGTTTGTTTTAAAATTGCATTTTGTTCACACAAATTTTTGACGGTAATTCCCAGTACACTGCAATTCTGTAAAATAATATCTCTCCAGGCGAATTTAATTAGGAGGGTGGACTAGACAAAGTAAACTAGCTGGCTTTTTTTTCTGAAGGTATGGAAGGGTTAGCGGGAAGAAGACGTGAAGCAGGCTGCCACACTTGCTGTAGAATAACACTTGAATTAAGTCTTTTTTACAGTTTTATAAGCTGAAATAATATTGGATAAGTTCATAATCAGTTAAGTTCAGTGCACTGAGCACATCCGCAGCAACATGTTATCGCTGAGTTGACGGCGAAAACGTTCACAGTATTCCTCACAAGGGAATATGGCGGAGGAAAATCGATACTTTGTTTCTTTACTATAGTAGTTCCAAGTTTTATGGGAAAGAGTTTTTTGAAATCTTTTAACTTGTTCTTCTCATGTGCGAATTTAGAGGTACTGACAAACGTTCAAATTATTATCAAACATTATTTTAATTATCATATCTTGGCTTTGAAAATGGTTCCGTCCAAAAGCTTATCCTCTCCCAGAAATTTTTTTCTTGTATCAGAGTCCTCGTTTTTAAAGCATGCTAAGAAAATTTTTCTGAGAAGCTTGAAAAACATTTGTTTTTCTACCAAGCTTAGTAGCAGAAAAAACTTAGATCTGCTCATTCGCGGTCAGCTTAAGTTGTGAAAGCTCAGATTTGTAGTTTTGTCGAGAATTTTTTTTTTTGAACAATTTCAAAATTTATGGTAAGGAATGGTTAAAGAAACTAACGTTTTTCAGCTGGGGATTTAAAGTTTAAAGGTTATATAGCTACTCTGTTCTGGCAAAGAGATACTTATGTGTGGAAAACGTGTATTATGCTTCAAGCCCTTTTGAGGATTATTGCTAATAATCCAGAGACAAATCAGGTTATTTTACTTCATTCTAGAGCATTTTACTTCGTGAAAAGGCTTTTGAGTTTATCCTCTCCTGCATTTAGGTTCCAAAAAAGCGCTTTCATAAAGTTAATTTGGTTTATGCCATTTTTAATTGCTGCCTTTTTTAACAGCATAAGATTAGTGATTAAATGCCGTTGAGTAACGTTTATCTAACAGACGTAGACAAAACTGTGGTTTTAGTATTTTTTTACCAGTTTTTTCTTCGCTTATTTGTTTCTTCCAGATGCTCATGGATGAAAAGAGTGTGCATGAAATGTTGAGACAAATGGAGGGCTGGCTAGATAAGCAGAGCCCGCGACCTGTAAGTGTATTGGCATTTCAAGCTTTTCTTCGTATTAAAAAAGTTTTTCGAGATTAGGACGCTAGAGTGTTCAAAATGCATGGAATTGTCATTAATTCAAGAGATTTATTTCAGAAAATTTAATGGTTTTAAATATTGAGCTTTACTTTAGAGCTCTTTCACCTATGGCTGCCGTCCAAGTGAGAAGACTTGTGACTTAAAGCGGTCTGGAAGTGCCACTGATCTTTTAAAGGAAATCAAGGAACTCAATGCCAGCATCGCAGTACTTTTTGCCTTCTATTTTCTTTGTTAATTTAGATGATTATCATCTCTCGTTTTAGTTCCTTTTTTGTGACTTTGCTTTCAAATTTTGCGCTCAAATATATTGGGAGATTTAAAAATATTCGTTTACTTTGAGCTTTTTTCGAGTTTGTTTTGCGTAGTTCATTTCATTGCAGTGGATTATATCAATTTTTAGTCTATATGCCACTGGAAAATCAAGCTCTCTGACAATTTTTGCATTCTCTTAATTTAAGGGAGCTGAAGAAAGTGAACGAGTAGAGGAAGAAATAGAAGCGCAGTCAGACGAGGACCAGAAACGATTACAACCTTACGTTGACTCTCTTAATGTTTATAACCCTCATCCAGGAAGCGATGAGGAAGATCACGGGCCAAACGAAAATTTATATTTTCCAGAGCAGGACTTGAAATCATCCCAAGTGAAGATAAAGCTTCCACAAACAGGTAACTGTGTTTGTCTTTGACACTTTTCTTATTTGTACATTACGATAGATGCTATCGTTCTAAATTCCATTTTTGAAAACATTTTTTTTAAATTTGAAATATTTAAATTTTTGTAGATTGGGACGAAGATAATCTTTCTTTGGTTGGTACTGTGTCGTATGAAGACAATCAGGCTACGATAAAGAGCCTTCCTCCTCCACCTCTCTACTCGGAATCGAACTCACTGAACAAGCATAACTTATTTAAGTATGCATTCTTATATTGAATTCTTTGGATATGGTTTGCGTGTGCTCAATGGTCGGCAGTAAAATGTTGAGTACGAACTCTGTTTTAATTGACGTCAATAGTTTTATTTGCAGAAGTTTTTATCTGAAAGGCAATTTGCAGGAACTTTCCAGTATGTCCTTCCGCAGCCGGTGACCAAGCGGGGGGGTTGACCAGGTCAGGAGAGGATACTGACAAACCTTCGTCTGAAAGCATTTTTTCGGCTGATAAAGACCTTGAAGATACGGTTCTCAACTCATAATGCGCAATCTGGCGGTACGTAAGTAATGGGGAAGCCGGATATTTAGAAATTTTAATTATTCTGTTCCGGTCACTTTCCTAGTTAATCTAGTTGTGGGTTTGAACAATAACTTATTAATACTTGTTTGTTTTTGCTGTTACACTTTGCTCTAGTGCGTAAAATGCTGTTTTAAGGTTTGTAACAGTTATAACTTTGCAGAACTTCTAGTTATTATTTTTCAACATCATCTTTTAGAAGCAGGTTTTCGATATAAAAATTTATCTACGATCGAAAGCATAACTGTGTTCCACTAGAAAAAGATCTCGTTATATAACTTGAAGTCCAGTTCTCCTTTCCACAAAATGTTACGCTTTACCTTATCTTGTCTTCTTCGGTTTGTTTCCAGTATGGTATTGCTCTGAAGCGTGATAGCTGATTTGCAAATCCAATATGTGCAGTGCTTTTACTTTTTGTTTAGTAAGTATTAAAGATAGGAATTATAGTTTTTGAACTTTGTTTTTTCCTTTTCTTTGAATTTTAACTTTTTATATCGGCGTGCTAGATGTGTGCGGGATTTCTCAAACTTGCCTTTCTCCTAATCGCTTTTTTGTTATTGTGATTTGCGGTTTATACAGCGTTAGGTTCAAGCTAATGTTTTCTTTTGGATATGATGTAATTTTGTTTTAGAGGTTAACCTATTTTTTTACTGTATGGATGCAGCGTTTCAGGTTTTAAGTGATTACTTTCTGCGAGAGCTTCCTTTTAGATAAGAGTAAGAAGAAGCTTTAGTGTTCGCTACAGTTCTCTTGTAAAATGCGAATTTTGTAGTGGCCATAACTACCTGTTCTGATTTCGCATTAAACAGTTCAAAAAAAGTATAATTGTTAAGTTCTAGGATTGCTTTCTGCCGTTTATTTCATAATTTTATTATACATTGTTTATGTAGCAGATACCGTTATATTTTTTTAAGGGTACAGCTAGTTTAGGATTCGTACAGAGGTTAGTATTTTTGGATTTTTTTCACCATGTAAATATCTTGTAAGTGAAAGGGACTCTCTAATGACTACTTCAGATTATAGAGTTCCCTTTTACGCATCAAACTGGTAATTAGCCAATGAATTGTGTGAGCATCACTTACGAATGGTCAATTTTTTTAAATTAATTTAAAGAAATTTTTTTCTTTCTTTTTGGTTTACAAACCACGCGGTTCCCGGTTTCAAAATTTTACTGGTATATGTTTGACGGCTTTTATGTAATTGTTGTTTTGGATAATGGCTTCCTGTTTTGATTATTGCGTTTTTCCCTTGCTTCTGTAAATTTAAATGAAATTCTTCATTTCTTGTTGTATGTATCATATATGACTTCAGGTTTGATGTTCATAATGAAAGTCTATAAATATTGTTGTTTCTTCTCTATTCTTGATGAAACGAACAAAATCATAGCTTTTTGATTACTGCGTGGGGAAGTTATAGGGACAAAGCAAAAATGTGGAGATGAAGGAAATTGTATAAAAGCTTACGCTGTTTGTGGACGGCAGTGTTCCTTCATAATTAGTTTATATGCATTATAATCACTAACTACTTCGTGTACATGGCTTTCCAGAGAAGCACGCGGAAGTTGGTATTTTTTTATAAGGCGGCGATTTTGTACTCTGTTGCTCAACGCTTTTGATATATCATGTCTTAAATTTTTATAAATTTTGGTCATTAAGAGAAGCTGGTCGTAACAAAAGGATAAAGGACAAAGAAATTTTGGAGATTAAGTGTGCTTGTAGTGGGATTTATCTCCAGAAAAAGCTCAAAAGGGAGCTGAAAACAAAAATAATTTTGAGCAATTACAATGGGTTACACTTTTTTCTAAATGGTGCTAAGCATTGCGTTCAGTTGTACTGATCGTGAAGGAACAATGAACATTAACAGGAGTGTCAGCAATTAAAAAAGAGAAAATTAGTACATTTAAAATTTGTTGAAGTTAACGTTAAGTTTATTTAAGGATACGGAACAAAAAGTAAAGTTGTTTGTAAAGTTAACGCATTAAAAACATTCGTTGATTTATTTTAAGAACTAAATAGACCAAGAATTTTGCGCTGTAGAATGGCTGATATAAATGAAGCTGAAAGGTCGGGACAGCAGCAGAGTATCATATGTAAACGACGTATGCGTTTACCTTATATAGTCGGATGGTAGGGAATAGACTAATAACCTCAAATTGGAACCAGTGATTTTAATTGGAATTTAGGAGCGATTCTATTTGAGGGACAGACGGCGGCTGGTAATGAATAGTGAACAGTGATGAATCAAAGCTGATGCTTATTATTTGGGGCTGTTTGTTGGCTAATATAATCATTTTAGTCTTAAAATTTGAATTCAATTTTCATTTCTTAATTTTTATGAACGATGAAGCAAGCGGCTTCGGAATCTAATAGGAAAACAGAAAACATAATATTAATTTTTTTTTTTTTTAAAGCTTTAAGGGA